GTTCTTGATCATTTCCTACTAAGTGTTCATGCAAATTTCAGAGAGTAAAACATATAGCCACGGTGAGAAACACGTTCACAACACATTCAAGGCTTATAGGATTAGATTTGTACTTGCTTCAAAGGAAGGTTCTCTCGGTTTGTGAGGGGGTTGATCTCTTGGTCTAGAGATCGGTTTACAATTGGTATGGTGTTTTCAATTAGGTTTGCAATTTACATGTTCTTGCAAATTGGTCGGGTTTGCTTTTGATTTTATAAGGTTTTAAAATTATAGTGGAAATCTCAAGCGGGATTTGCTTGGGGACTGGATGCACACCGGGGAGGTGGAACCAGTATACATGCTTGTGTTTGTGATATTCATTTTTTGAGATTGTTGTCGTTCTTTCTTGCAATTTATAACACATCTTGCAAACTCACCCTCTAGTGTTTTAAGTGTAAAGCTTCTGCAGATTTACTCTTTATAAGAGTGCACTCTTTTCTTAAGGGTCACGATCCTACACATGGTATATAGGTAAGAGGACTCTACACTATTGGATTAGATTAGCATTAACCCTATTCACCCTCACCCCCCCCCTCTAGGGTACTTTCACATAATAAATTTGCATTAATTAGAAATAAAAAAAATTTGGCAAACTTCATGTGTTACAAATCATGAAAATTGTAAATATTAGTTTACACATAATAATTTTTTATTCATTCAAAATTAAAAAAAGACTAATTTTATGGGCAATAGATCATAAAAATTATAAATTTTGATGTACACATAATAAGTTGGCATTTCTTAGAAAGGAACAAAATGAATCAAAAAATCGTGGGTTATAAATCATGGAAAACGTTAATTTTTTATGTGCATATCTAATTAATTTGCGTTCGCACATGATAAAAATTATGGGTTATATGTCATAAAAATTATAAATTTTGATGTACAAATACTTATTTTGTATTTGTTATAAAATAAATTAAAATTATCAAAAATCTTGGGTTATAGCTCATGACAATCATAAATTTTGATGTACACATAATATATTTATATTCATTCAAAATAAAATAAAATTTATAAAAATTATAGGTTATAACTCATGAAAAGAATAAATTTTGATGAACACATAATAAATTTACACTCATTGGAAATGAACAAACATTATGAGAATCATAAAAAATGTGAACTTTGATGTACCATAATAAATTTTCACTCAATAAACAAAAATTAACCAAATTCGTAGGTTAACTCATAAAAATCATAAATTCTAATGTATACATAATCAATTATGTTCATTAAAAAAGTAAAAAAATTGCAAAAGAAAACTTACAGATTAAAGCATATGAAAATCGTGAATTTTTATGTACATATAATAATGTTGTATTCTTATAAAATTAATAAAACTCATGGGTTATATTACATAAAAATCATAAATTTTAATATGCACATAATAAATTTGTATTCATTAGAAATACATAAATTTGTTAAAATTTATGGGTTATAGCTCATAAAAATCGAGAATTTTAACGTGCATATAAAAAATTATCATTCATTTTAAAAAAAATGAAACTTGACAAAAGTTATAAGTAACTCATGAAAATTATGAATTTTGATGTACACATAATAAATTTATATTCATTCAAAATAAATAAAAATTTACAAAACTCATGGGTTATAACTCATGAAAATCGCAAACTTTGATGCACACATAATAAATTTGCATCTGTTGGAAACGGAAAAAAACTTTAAAAAATCATGAGATGTAGATCTTGAAAACTGTAGTTTTTATGTACACATAATAACAAATTTTGATAAAAGTAGTAGGATATAGCTCATGAAAATCACTAATTTTGATGCGCACATAATTAATCTGCATTCATTTGAATTGAACAAAATTGTCAAAAAACTAGGGTTATACCTAATAAAAATCATGAATTTTTATCTGTGTATAATAAATTTGCATACGTGCGTAATGAACAAAAATTAATAAAAATTGTGGGTTAAGCTCAAAAAAATCGTAAATTTTAATGTGCACATAATAAATTTGCATTCATTGAAATTAAATAGAATTTTTTAAAAGTTATGAGTTATAGCTCATAAAAATAGTGAGTTTCGACATATATATAATAAATTACCATTCATTCAAAATAAACAAAACTTTATAAAACCTAACTATAGGTTATAACTCAAAAAATTTGTAAAATTTAATATACACATATCAAATTTCAATTCGTTCAAAACGATGAAGCCGTTGTGACACCATCGAGGAAGCCTGCTAGGAAAATCCTTGTAGGCAACTGATTAGTAAAGGGTGTCGTCGAGACTTTTCTAGTTGTGAGTGGGAGCACATTCCCACCTCTACTTTCAAGAAAGGTCGAGTCACTTAATTTATGGGCCCGAACTGGGCGTTAACAAATGGTGGACTGTCGAAACACTCTACATTAAGCTTGTTTGGCCATGTATCAAATATGATGCATCTTCTAGTCCAAATTGCACGATAAGAAAATGTTTTCTTTTTTTGCTTGGCCCACGTCCTTCTAAAATCTTTATACTTGTGTGGCAATCAGGTTGACCCGACCCGACCCAACCAATATAAATTCTAACCCGACCCGTATATTATTAATCCGATCTGACCCATCAAATAATCGGGTCAACCCGTTTATTAAACGGGTTACCTACCGACCCAAGTGAACCATTTAATTATTTTATAATTTTCATGTACTTAACATAAAGTCTATGATTAAAATTTTCATGGTCTTATTTATCATTTATAGGTTTTATACTATTTAGAAGTTTAGATATTTGTAGGGTGTTCTTTGATTTTGAGTGTTTTTTTTTGGAAATTTTAAAAGTTCTAAGTTGTTTCCTACAAATATTATTTTCTCAGTACAATTTTTCTAATTTATAAACATTATACCCATTTTAAGTTTTGCCTTTTTGGGTTTTTAAAATTTTAAATTTTAAGATTTTTTGTACTTTTTGAAGCTTTTAGGGTGTTTTCTGTAAATACTAAATTTTCACGTTGCTGTTTATAAACTATAGATTTTGTACTACGTGTATGCTTTCATATTTCTAGTGTGTGTTTCTATTGACTTTTTATGGTGTACTTTGTAATTTTAAAACGTTTAGGGTGTTTTCTACAAATTCCAAAATTGTCACGTTATTGTTTATAAATTACAGATTTTGTACTATTTATAATTTTTTATATTTATGTGGTGTGTTTCTGTAAAATTTGACTTTATTGAAGGTGTATTTTTACAATTTTAAAAATTTTAAGGCGTTTTTTGCAAATTTCCAAATTTTAACAACGCCCCTTGTGACTTATAGTTTTTGTACTGTTTGTAAATTTTATTGTCTCAATGGCATGTTTCTATGATAGTTTGACTTTTTAAGGGCGCATTCATAATTTTCTAAAGTCTTGGGGTGTTTTCTGTAAAATTTAAAAATTGCATGGTACTGTTTATAACTTATAGATTTTGTACTTTTTGTAAGTTCTGATATTTTTGGGGCGTATTTCTGTAAAAGTTTGACTTTTGAGCTTGTTTTGCAATTTTTCAAATGTTTAGGTGTCGTTTGCAAAACTCAAAAATTTCAGTGATTTTTGTAATTTGTAAATTATAAAATTTTCACTGCTCATAAGTTTAAAGTATTAAATTTTTTGGTGTTTTTGTAACATTTTAAACTATTGGGGTGTTTCCTGCAAATTTTTAAAATTTTATGGTGCTCTTCATAAGTTATAGATTGTGTAGTGTTTGTAGATTTTGATTTTTTTAGGGTACGTTTTTGTAAAATTTGACTTATTTAGGATGTTTTTTGTAGCTTTTGAAACTATCAGGGTGTTTCTTATAAATTTTAAAATATTCACAGTGTTGTTTATAAGTTTTAGATTTTATACCATAGGTAGGTTTTGATATTTCTTTTGTGCATATAAATTTGACTTTTGAGGGTGTACTTTGCATTTGCTGAAACTTTTATGGTGTCTTTTATAAATTTCAAAAAATTTCATAGTTTTTTTTATAATTTATAGATTTTTGTATTGTTTTGTAAGTTTTGATATTTTCATGGTTTTTTGGTAATTTTTGAACTTATGAGGATATTTTTTTTTATCCTTTTAAGGGTATTTTTTTGTAAATTGTAAAATTTTCATAGTGTTGTGCGTAATTAATAGATTTCATAGTGTTTATAATGGGTGTCTGTTTAGGAACTTTGAATGTTAAGAGTTGAATAATATATGGGTTAAAGTTAAATGGGTCGGCGAGTCAACCCGCTTATGATTCGATTAATAAATTAATTTGTTAGGTCGACCATTTATGACCTGATCCATATAAAGTGACCAATACCCATTTGAAAAATTCTTTAAGGACCCAAAATATGGGACTGAGACCAATAGGGGGGACAAGTGAGGTGTCCCCCTCCTATTGGATAATGAGTTGACCATCATTAATGATGACCAACTCATTATCTAATAGGAAGAGGACACCTCACTTGTCCCCTTTATTGGTCTCATATTTTGGGTCCCTGTAACAAAGCTCATACACATTTATAATGGGTCGAGTCAAGAGATCGGGTCATAAATTAACACCCCTACTTTATATCCTTTTAGTCCGTGGAATCAACAAATATGCCCTTTGTATTCTCAATGACAAAAGGTTGACGTAGACATTATATAATATTTATTAATGAAGCTAATTTTCCACTAGAAATTTGTTGAAATCAATGGATTATTCTCGACATTTATATCCCTCAATTTAGATCTTGTGCTAGATTATAGAATTTTTGTTGGCTATTATAAAATATTTATACTAATTTATGAAAATTCCAGTTATCTGCATACAATAATAATAATAATAATAATAATAATAATAATAATAATAATAGATAAATAGATAAATAGCAAAAAAGTAATGAAACAGGAAAAAATAATAATTAGAAGTACAGAGGGCTGTGCACTACCCGCTTGTACTTCATCAAGGTGTTGTACTGCACGCTACAAACATTGGCGTCCATTTCTTGCTCCGAGCTGACCCACACCAAGGACTCGAGATTAAATATATGCAACACAAAAATATATACAAGCGCTAATCTCTTACTTCATTTTGTATCTTCATATATACATGTATACATTGATTGATTCAGCACAATAACTATATACATAGTCTTTACAGAGAATAACAGCTCTTATTGAACCTCATCGCTCCTCCGTCGACACTTGGTGCACTTCGATTAGACACAAATCCATCGGTCCTCCGGCGGTCTGATTGTCGTGGCAAATTCTCTGGCATGATGTTTTCCAACGAATTCAGGTGCCATGGAGGGCACTTCCTTATTTGATCACTCCACAAAACGATTTTTCCCTTATCTGTTGATACAGCCTCCGTGTATCTCAGATGCTCCGTTGCCGTTGTCGCACTAGTATTTGTCGTGTTGATGAAGCTAACCATCAAGAATGTCGCCGCGATAGACATGCAACGATTTGGTAGGTTGTCGATCGATCTGATCTTGCTCAGCAAGAGAGAATAAATTAAGATGGTCATGTACAGTAGAGGTCAATGGAAATATCTGTTAGATAAATGATATGATTATAGTTAATACAGCACGTATAGCTAAAATATTATGAGTTTTCGTAGAAACAATTAAAAAGGATATTATAAAACTAGGTGTAAAATAAGATTCACGTAGTAGATCGTAGAATTTCAGATAAAAACTTTGTTGTTGTTTTGGTAAATGATATGACACTTCATTTATATAGAAATTATCTATTGGCAATAATATATAAAAATAAAGAATAAGATATTACCTTGGAGGTAGAAGGGGAGAAGATACTTGAGGAATGGGAGGAGGAGGAGACGAGGGCTTGAGGCAGCAATTGATCGAGATGACCATGGTATCTATAGCTTGCTTTTTTGTGATGTTGGGGTTTAAGTTGGTTCCTACGCATTGGGAGTTTAATAGGGGAGTTCTTGATTTGGTGAGAAACGGTGGATTTTTATGGGCCGGGCACGTGGGGCTTGGACCGAAGTTACCAATCAGGGATTTCTGATGCTTGTGCGGTTTGAAAAGTGTTGGTGGCGTGCGGAATTTTAGGTGACACGTAGGCTTATGGTGGGCTCCGTGGGTGAGATTTTTGTGCGAGCGTAGATGTAGATATACGCTGATTGATTCCGCAAGTCCGGGGGAGTTTTGTTAGGTGATTGCTGGACTTTGTTACGTGTAGTTGTTCTTCTCTTCTGAAAACTATTGGGCACTAGAATACATTTGAGAATTGCTTGTAAACTTTGAATATAGATATGCATAAAATTTTAATAATATAATTCTCCCTTTAAAAGAGGGAGTACGAAAAAAACTTTCTCTATCTCAAAATATCATTCATCTTTCATTAACTTAACAAAGGTAAACTTTTTTTTCGTTACTCACAAAATTAGAAAATGTAAAGCCCTAAATCTTCCATTTCCTTCTCTGTTCCATCTGTTACGAATTTCCTCCGGCAACACAGTCTCACTCTCTCTACCTCATCAATTGTCGGTTATCAAATTGCAAAGATGATTATTATCTTCATCAAGAAGCTTATTATTATCCTCATTATCCACAAACCTTCTCTTCCATCTTCTCCTCAAATATCAGATTTTAAGCATCAGGAAGGATCAAGAAGTGAACAAATTGAGCAAAGTTTTTATAAGATAACAATTTCTGGTATGTCTTGATCAATTTATAAATTTTGATTTTGATTTTGGAAATTCTTAGTTTGTTCGATATCTTTATGTGATTAATTCTGAAATTTTCTCATTTTGAAATTAAGCATAACACTAACGTAATTGTTTTCTCTGAGGCAATTTAGGTTCTATTCATTAGAATTTACTTTTTTCCTTGCACTGCAATTAGTTTTTATGGCAATTGATATTTTTCTAATTTTTTTTCAGTTTTCATGCATTATTTACTTGAGAAGTTTTTCTAAACTCTTATCTAGATTTTTATATTGTTTGATTTTCATTTCCATAAGCTAGAATTTATTTGAGTTTAGATTTGTTTTGATTATACTCTTTGTTCACACACAACCTATTGAGCTTATTATATTTGCATACATAGTATAATTAGACTTGTGAGTTTGTGTGACTTAGAGAGTGAGCTTAAATTTAGTTCTCATCTTGTATTAGAGAACAACCATTGTTGTATTCGAGCTTAATTATGAGTTATACTTTGTAATACACTTGTACACCGAGAGGAGTGTGTGGTGAGAGACGGAGTCGTCTCAAGAGAAGTGACGTCGGTAGTAAAGCCTAGGGAGAGGTTGTAAATCCGAGCACTTGAGGGAGACACGAGCTAGAGATCAACACTTAGAAGGTGTAGAGTGGGATTGCAAGAGTGTTGATAGTAAAGTTTTTGATGAGTTGGAAAACTGAGTGTGAGGTGTAAACGTTTTCGGGTGAGCATTGAAAACCCGGTGTGATAGTGAATTTCTCCCCAGGAGTGGGGAACGGAGATGTACGACGGAAGGTCCGAACTCCGTGATCATTTGCTTGTGTTTGAGTTTGGCTTGTGTACTTATATTTTGTTTATCTCTATCGTCATTCTCTCATTATCTAATTTATTCACTATTTTGTTTATATTTGTTTGTTTCACCCTTGTGTTTTTTGTATATCCTTGCATATATATCTTGTCACACATTATACTTTCTAGGATATTTATTAATTAGTTTTAATTGGCATAAAATCAGATTAGATTAGCATACCCTTTTCCCCCCCCCCCCCTCTAGGGTTCTTTCAGAACCAATGTGTTCTTCGTTACATAAACTACACACTCCAAAGTCTTGTTCATTTTGTGGAGCTAAAAAGTTTGAGCACGAGCCTCCAACATCTTGTTGCCACAACGGTGAAATCCACCTAGCAGATATGAATGTTAAAGACGAGTTATATGCCCTTTATACAGTACAAACCCAAGAGGCAATTGAGTTTCAAAGACAAACCAGAAAGTATAATAATATTTTCTCATTCACATCATTCGGGGCAAGATTTGATAGAGAGCTTGCATCAAACAAAAAAGGCATTTTAACATTTAGAGCACAAGGATAAATATATCATAATTTCCCCTCTCTAATTCCAGAAGAAAACAAGCCTTCCTACTTTCAACTTTACTTCTATGATATAGAGAATGAGTTGCAAAATCAAATGGGACTATTAGATAATGCAAATATGAGTACGACTACAACTAAAAGGTTGATGGATATATTAGAAGGAACATATGCAAAACTCCTGCGGAAACTGAATGATTATCCATCTCTTGAAGACTTCAAGATTATAATAAATAGAGATGATGCAATAGATCAACGCGTTTACAACTCACCAACAGTGGATCAGGTTGCAGTTGTCTGGGTAGAGGGAAATAATAAAAATGTTCCGTATGAGAGAGAAATAGTTGTTGATTCACACTCCGAAAAGAATCATCAAGTTAAACACTATTTTGGTTGTTATGATCCTTTACAGTATCCTTTACTCTTTCTAAGCAGAGGTGTTGGATGACACCAAAATATTAAAAGAAGGGAGAAAAAATATATTCACCGTTCAATACAACAACTAAGTAGAACATCTCAAGTAACTCAACAAATTTTTACATCTGCAGAAGACATATTTAACCGAGAAAGGGAAGGTAACTCATAATTAAAATTGTTTAATAATATTATTACATTAAAAATTAACTTAACCTACAAACTTGTAGGTGTTAAAGTACCAAAGGCGGGAAACGTCTCATGTCGAGAATATTATTGTTACCATTTCCAAATAAGAGACACTCGACAATCTATTGTATTAACATCAGCAGGTTGGTTGTACCATCAATATGCTGTTGATATGTACATAAATCTTAAAACAACAAGACTTGATTATTTTAGAAAAAAATAATCAGAAATCAGGGTAGAGTTATTCTAAGGCATAGTCGATAGTGTAGCTATCGGGGAAGTAAAAACATGTCAAGTCGAAAAAAGAATAGTGCTGTAATCATCATTTATTTGTGGTCCTAAAGATATGCGTCGTAGATATCTTGATGTAATATCATTAGTACAACGATTTGGAAAACCAGATCTTTTCATCACAATGACATGCAATCCTGAATGGGAAGAAATCACAGAGGAGCTACATCCAGGCCAAACACATAATGATAGACCGGATCTAACGTCAAGGATATTTCGAGCAAAGTTGCAAGACCTGAAAGATCAGCTATTTAAAAAGGAAATCTTTGGAAAAGTTATTACCCATGTTCATGTCATCGAGTTCCAAAAAAGAGGGTTGCCTCATGCACATATGTTAATTATTATAATAGGAGAGCACAAAATCGCATCATCAGATTAGTATGATAAGTACATATTAGCAGAAATTCTAGACCAGTATGAAAATCCAATCCTATATGAACTGGTAAAAAAGCATATGATGCATGGGCCTTGTGGAGAGTTAAATATGAAGAATGTTTGCATGCAAAATGGCGAGTGCAAGTATCACTACCCTAGATAAATGCATGAGAGATGAAAGAATGCGAAGCTCCCGAATCGAAAAGAATACGGGCGGGGAAAGAATCCATAAGGAACATACCCTCCACTACAGCTCCGCTAGCTCCATGATAACGGGGAACTACTGCATAAACCCTGCCTGTGACTGAAGACTGCTCTGCTACTGGAGATGGAGAATATGGGACAATCTGCCCCTGAGGAACCTCCTGAACTGCTCGAACCTGCCCCTCAGTCCTCTGAGCTGCTGGCGGTGCCTCGAGTCTGTTCTGCTGGCCCTGACCTCTGCCCTGCTGGCNGAACTGGTAAAAAAGCATATGATGCATGGCCCTTGTGGAGAGTTAAATATGAAGAATGTTTGCATGCAAAATGGCGAGTGCAAGTATCACTACCCTAGAGATTTTAGTCCAAGACCAGTATAAGCAAAAGATGCTTACCCAATTTATAAAAGGAGCAAAAATAATAGAACAATGTTGGTTCGAAACAAAATCATTAATAATCAATGGGTGGTACCTTACAATCCATATTTGCTAACATGTTATAACTGTCACATCAATGTTGAATTATACTCAGGCATTAAAGCAGTGAAATACCTTTATAATTATATATATAAAGGTCATGATAGAGTGGCAGTAAACATTGAGTATAATAAAGGAGAAAAAGTTATGAATGAAATCAAAAATTTCCAAGATGCAAGATGGGTATCAGCTCAGGAAGCTTTCTGGAGAATATATGAATTCCATCGTAATGAGATATTCCCGACCGTCATTAACTTACAGCTGCACATGCCAAATCAGCAATATGTTTCTTATTGGAAATATCAAGACCTATCGAAATTGATTTACTTGGAACATGTCTTCAAGACAATGCTTACAGAATATTTTACTGTGTGTACAAAAATTAAAGAAGGTAACAAGTGAAAACCTAAAAAGGAGCATAAAAAGGAGTTATTATATGTAGAATTTCCTAAATATTATGTTTGGGGCTCAACATTAAAATCTTGGAGTCCAAAAAAGACAGAGACAGATGATAGGCCGTATAAACGAGGCTAACCCAATTGAAGGAGAGAGATATTACTTATAACTATTGCTTACTCACATCAGGTGCCCGGCATCATTTGATGATCTATTGATGGTAAATGATATTCATTGCAAATCTTTCAAGCAATCAGCCCAGAAATTAGGTCTTTTAGAATCTGATGATAGCATAAGAGAGAGCTTAGATGAAGCCATCGTCTTCCAAATGCCAGCAGCACTTCGTTGTTTGTTTGTAACTATATTGGTTCATTGTGAGCCCATAGATGTTAATCATTTATGGGATCAATATTTTGAATCACTATCTGAAGACTTCTCAAGGAAACTACATGCTACTAGAGCTTCGGTAATAAATGATATTCTTCTCAATATTAACTTCTTCTTAGAAAGCATGGGAAAGGATATTCAAAATTCTGATTTGCCACCT